GGGGGGGGGGGGGGGGGGTTGAATTAGATAAGCCTTGGGTTTCATTCTGCCAATCTGAGATATGGAAAATGAAGAACCGCAGTTTAAGATGTCTCAGTTGCGAAGGATGGACTTCTGTAGTTTGAGGGTCTCACTCATCTGATGTAGTTGTTCTAGATCAAGTTACCAAAGTGTAAGTAGGGGGAGGTCCAGTTAGCCTGAGTTGCATCAGTAGATTTCATGGTAAATATGTTAGCCAACTTGAGAACTTTATAGTTCCATGAGGAAGTCATACCTTTTTCCAAGGTTGTTGACTGTAGTGTGCTAGTTGTATAACCTTAACATGATTAGTTTACTCTTGTTATTGATTGTTTTTCGTGTTGTTTCCTATTTTGTGCTCTTTATCTGTCTTTGCCTTGTGTTAATTTCATATTCTCTACTTTTGTTTATTCATTTTCCAGGTGCGGATGATTGTGAAACCAGGATGCTCACAGGATGTTCTGAAAGCAGCTTTGAGTGCCATGACTGCTGTGACTGATATTCTCTTGACCATGACCTCACCTTCAAACGGTGGGAACACACCTTATTAGAAGTAGAAATAAACTGCTCATCTTAAGTGGAAATTTTCTGTTGGCACTGCCTGAAGTATTGGAATTCCGAATGTCTTCTGTTCCTTTTTTATTTCCGTAATTTATGTCCAGATCTTTTTAGGTGCAGACCATATCTGTGAACATTGAGCTTAGTTTTCTTTTTTTTCCAATGCGAAATAAATGTGAAAGTTCGGTTTTGAGGTTTATGAGAACACGAGATTTGATCGGATTGTTTTTGGCATCTATAGAGGTCATTTCCTAGTGCATTGGTTTCTGTTGAGGCTAACAATTTGTTGGTTTGAATGTATTCAATCCAGCTGTACTAGCACTCTCGATTGGAAACTAACATTATGATTGTTGTGGAATTACTATGTGCATATGGCTCGACTTTGGTAGCATTAGAAGTATAGGACCTAAATTGATATTTGGTTGTGTGTACACGATGAGTTAGTTATATACAAAAACAAGGTTGAAGGCAGGTAATTGGGGGTAATGGGACCCATCGATGTACGTGCAGTGTAGACAGCCTTTGTTGAGGATTTATTTTTGTTTGTTTCAGTTTTGTGTAAGACAGAAAAAGCTTACAAAGCACATGTTGTGGTGCTTGCATATCATGGACAAGGCCACATAAATCCAATTGTCCAATTTTCTAAACGTCTGGCCTCGAAAGGAATCAAAGTCACAGTAACTACCAAACTCTCTACTACCAAGACCATGCAAGCAACAGCGGGCTCAATTATATTCAAGCGCCTGTAATTCCGAATATGCCATCAATGGGTCCTTCCTACTATAGGACGCTTCCCCCCAATGTTCCTGAACATACTGAGTCAGTTCACTAACATTGAGAAAGCAGATTGGGTCCTTTTCAACTCCTTTGATAAGTTGGAAGAAGAGGTGAGTTAGATGCTTCATTGCTCTCTACTGCAATAAAAGAGTATTTATGAAGAGATCAATCCTGCTTCCCTTTTGCTGTCATTCCATTCCTTCTCTGCTGGCTAAGATGAGCTTACAGCTTCTGTTGTCGATTGACTGAGTTATGAGGCTAACAATTTTCAAATTGATGTCCGTTGAAAATAGACGAATTGAATTGAAATAAGGAAAGTTTGAGGTACCAATTTTTTTTTTTTGGGTACTGAAGTGAAGTCTTTGAAATAAAGATTAGATTTACTAACAGATATATATTAATTAATCCTGTTTTGAATCAATAGATATTCACCTACAATTTATCCAGAATTTGTATGGAATAAAGAAGTAATATCCAAGTTGGACTCTAACTACTTCAAACTCCAATTCCTACTCAAATTAGTAATCGATACAAACAAGTACTATTATAAATCCTTGTTAGAAAATATTGGTCTTTTTATCACTTCATTATTATTACCAATCCCTAGAAAATCTATCTCTCACTCCCATGTACTTTTATCCTTATAAATAGTGTGCTTGAGGTTCAACAACAAAGAAACAGAAGTACACTGCAATGGAAAATAATGGTAACATAGAAGATTCTAACGACGTTTATTTTAACTCATTGCCACCTGGTTATCGTTTTTGTCCAACTGATGAAGAGTTGGTCAACGTTTACTTGAAGAAGAAGGTCTTGAACGAAACCCTACCTCGAAACCAGATTCGAGACTTCTATTTCTATGACTACAGTCCCCAGATACTTTCGAGTTAATCTTTCTAACCTTCTTCTTCTCTCTCTCTCTCTTACATGTTGAGGTTCACTTATTCAAGTTGAAAAGCTTCCAAACAATGTGATTAATTTTTTTTTTTGGGCAAAGCAACAATATGAAAATTCATGTTCCATGCTAATTGTTATTTATTTTTTTTTTCTAGAATGTGAATAATCTTGTTTTTACTGGCTTAATTATGAAACATGTTGTTCATACCTTGTGCATGAGTTTGCGTGGAACTACTGGTGGATTGGTATGTGATAAATTATTTCATTATAGATTGGTCTTTTGAAAAATTAGATTTGTTCAATTTCATTGAGCTTGTTACTTTTTCTTTTTTGGCATAAAACAATACTTAAACACGTGATATTGGGTTTGAATATTGTTGTTCATATATTTTTTTATTTTTCATAATCTGACACCTATTAAATTGAATAAATATTTATCTTGCCATTAAATTAGTTATTAGACTTTGAATGGATTAGTAACATTATTGGCTGAAAAAGATATCTTAACAACACAAAATTCAAATATTCAATTAGTACATTCACATCTCGAAAAGGATAAAAAATAATTTTTAAATTACAATTAAATATTTAATTTAACTATAATATTATCTGAATTTTCTATGTGCTCGGATTTTATATGGATAATAATGTTTTGGCTTTGAATTAATGACAGAAATATTCAAATTACATAGAGAAACCGTGTGGTATTTTTTTTCCTCGAGGATAAAGAAATACCCGAATGGTACTCGACCAAACCGATCAGTACAAAATGAGGGATTTTGGAAGCCGATGGGAGCTGATGTCCCCATCTATAGCAATGGTGAAGAAATTGGATGCAAGAAATCTCTAGTGTTCTTCAAGGGAAGCACCGGCAAGGGAAAGGGAAAGGGAAAAGGAAAGGAAAAGGCAGAGGAAAAGGAAGTTGAACCTCCAATCAAGACTAACTGGCTGATGCATGAATATAGATATGGCAAACGGGCTGATCAACGTCTAAGTACGAATCCTAATGACAAAGAGGTAAGCACTCATTTTTTTTAGCCAAAATTTTCATATTAGTGGGCATAGATCCTCAAGGTCACGTGAGATATGACTAAACGTCATGAATTAGTTGTGTCGTATCGAATTAGTGTTACGATAAAATTTATTTATTTTTTGTCTAATTCATACCTAAGCGAATTTTTGGGTCATTTTGTGTTGAGTTTATGTCGTATATACGCCGTGTTTAGGATTTCGACCTCCTCATGTACATTTTTCATCAACTTCCTACAGTAAATCATTTTCCATGAAATAAAGTAGGAACTAGTTATCCTATATGGGAACCAATTGTTGTATTTTACACCATTGCATGCATATTATAAAAAATAACCAATTATTTTTTATTTTTTATTTTTTTTGTTTAATGGTCAGAGATGTCCGGATCAATTTATGTGCACATCTACTAATCCTTTCTTCGGTCCGGTCAAAGATAAATCATCCACGCCGGGACTAGGGTATTCANGGTCAGAGATGTCCGGATCAGTTTATATGCACATCTACTAATCCTTTCTTCGGTCCGGTCAAAGATAAATCATCCACGCCGGGACTAGGGTATTCATGAAAGATAAATTCTTCATGACATGATCTTAAGGAATTGTCAAAATTCAAACTCATGACGTCTAATTTTATAACTTGTTCCTATTACTACTTGAGCTATCTTATTACCAATAATTTAGCAGTAACTAACTTTTTTTTTTTTTTTGGACTTGTAGTTGGATAAGTGGGTTTTGTGCAAAATGTACGAGAAAACAACAGGTAAAGTCAATGGAGAACAACAACACGAGGATAATGGGGGTGTTATAATTGATAATGATGGGATACTTCTACTTCCCAACACAAATGCACAGCCAGTTCTTGTTCAGGACCCTCAGCTTCCTCCTCTTCCACCAACAACTTTCATCACTATGTCCAGTGCAATGCTTACTTATCCAAGGTATGTATATGGCTATGGTGTTCCCACCGATGGCGTGACTTTACCCATCGGACTCAACGTCGGTTCTCCTGTATTGCTTGATGACATATCGGATTATCTTGTGCCATTCGATTTATTGGCTAGAGACGATGATGACATGATGTCAAGGTTACCATCTGATACCACACATCCAGAATTGTCTTCCGATGATAAAAAGAGTTGTCCTTCCTAATTTTTCTTTCTTAGTACCAAAAAATATTCTTAACTACACGTTTTTTGGACTCAAATATCAATTTTTTTTTAATTTTTTTTTTGTGTTATATACTTTTAGATTTATTAGTACTCAACAATATTGTTTGATCAATTTTTCTTACCAATTGACATGTCGCAGCTAGACATTTTTTTTTTTTTTTGCTCGTCGCAGCTTAGACCTATTAGATATTAATGAGATCTACTAATCCATGGTTTACCTCGGTTTATGTGAAAAAAGTTGATAAGCAAATATAGGAAGCAAGAGTAGCATTAATCTTTTATTATTCAGAAAACAAATAATTTGTCACAAATAAAAAACTTTCATTAATATTAAACCATATGTTTGGATTATAAAAGTTTATATTCATTTAATTGCCTTTTTTAAGCCCGTTTGAAATCTTGTTAATTAGTACTTTTAATGTACAAACATATCAGTGTAGTAGGTATCCTCACCAAAGATCAAAATATTGTTTCGAAATGGTTGAGATATCTGAAACGTTTCTGTTTTCAAGGAGACCAAAACGAATCAGTAATAAAATCGAAATTCTAATATTTCGAAGTGTTCCATAATATTTCAAAAAATTTTGTTATATTTCAATACATTTGCACAATTATTTCAGAATATTTCAAGATATTTTAGTATATTTCGACAAATATTTTAAAAAAATAATTTTAAATTTTTTTTTTCATTATGTTTTCAAAATGGGTCGAAACGTTTCCAAAAATGTTGAAACTTTTTTGTTTCTTAAATGACTGAAACAATGCACCGAAATAAAATCTTGATTCTCACTACAAGAAAAATATTTTATTGCAATGACTTTCTGTGACGAATAAGAAAAATGATCGCCAAAAACTAACATTCTACAACCAACATTAGAGCTCGTCACCAAAAATTATTAAAAAAAAAAATTGGCAACAAAGTCTATACTTGTTGCTGAATGTGGTTGCAAAAAAATTCTCGCCATTGACCAATTTTGGCGTTAATTGTTATTTACTTTTTGGTGACGAACTTGGTGATCATAAATTAAATAATATTTTAATTAATGATTTATTTCACAAATGTGTTATCTGATGACAATATTAGTTCATCGTCCAAAAATAATTTTTTGTAGCGACAATAATTTTTTTGTCACTGATAAAATTTTTAATTTTTAATTTTTAATTTATTTTTTTTAAAAATAATTTAGCGATAATTTAACCAAAAAAAATATAGAGCCCGCCATCCCCTTCTCCCCTTTTCCCTCCCTTTTTTTTTCCAACCGTCATTAGTCTTCCATTAGATTTACGTGCATTCCAAAACGGTACTCTCTCTTTCTCTTTATATATATATACACATGTATAATAAATTAAACATTCTCTTTGTTATCTTCTTCCTAGTCCTCGTTCTCCGAAGTAAGAATTTACAAGTGGTTAAAAACAAGTCTGTCAAAATTCAACACGACACGATTAATCAACACGTATCGATATGGATTGAACGAATTTGGACGAGATCTTAACGAATTCTGGTGATAAATAAGTTGACTTGTTTAACACGTTTAATAAATGAGTCATATTCGAGGGAGACATGTTAACCTATTTAAAATCAGTTTAAATAAAATTAATGTAATAATAAATTAATAATTATTTAAAAAAAATTAACCAATTTTTTTTTGTTAATGACAACCACACAAAAAATATATAATCCTTCCTTAATCCTAATTCTTTCACGCTGAACGGCTGAACGGCTGAACCCTTGTTGCGCCTCCACCACTCTTCTGCTCTCTCTCTCTCGCTCGACAGCAACTCAGAGAGCTGCGAGCAGTTGCCAGTTGACTCGTCCACCATTCCTACTAATTCGGCACGCCTGACGTCTTCCTGATTTTCTTGACTCGTTCAATAATGCTGTGATTGCTTCTTTCAAGGCAGACGGAAGTGATGAAGCTGGTGAGCTGAACTCTTAATTGATGTTGAAGTTTTAAATTTCAAAATAAGCTGGTGTAATCGTTGTGATGAACTGCTTTAGGTGCTGCATTTGATTACATTGAGACGTCTCTTTCCAAATTCGACGATGGACCTTTTTTTCTGGGTCAGTTCAGTCTGGTGAGTGAAACCTTTCTTCTGCTATCTGCATAATGTATAACATTATTCCTGAGTTAAGCTTTTAAAAGTGGCAGTTAATTATTGTGCGTGCAAGATCCTGCACAATATAAAAAATATTGGGAACAGATCTCTCCCCTGGTGAACTCTGAGTGAGCCGGTTGGGTGGCCAAACACGCCGCTTGACACAGCCTGCAAGGTATGGTGGCAACCTGGAACGGCAAAAGAGGATCATGGGAAAGGAAGAACTATCCTGTATGTCTGAAAGGTTTTCCTGGAATAAAGAGGAAACTAGTTAGAAGGGTGCCGGAGTGTTTTCCGGCGTATCCCCTCCGACGGTCTAGTCAGTCTTTGAATGAGGGAGAGGAAGAAGAAAACACTGAGAAAGTCTATATTGTAGTGGAGAGTTTGTGATTGCGTACCCGCTTTGCCTTTTGGGAGGAGTATTTATACCTTAGAAGCTCATGATTGCTGTCAGTGTGGTCAGTAGGTGATCATCAGGCACAGGTAGCGTGTGTATTGATTTGATGAGGAATGTCTTCTCTAATTGACTGCTCGGGGTCCCGAGCA